TATGAATAACAAAGACTTCTCAACCAGATCAATATCAACCAAAGAAGAATAAATGTTTTACTTTTGTAGAATTCGAATGAATTTTTACTTATTGTTGTAATAAGTCACAGAGTGTGCCACAGTTCGACACTTGTTTTTTTATGAACAAAGTCACTAGATAACTGCAGAAAATGCATTTTGCCATTCACTTTATATATGTTCAACGAATGGCTAATTTTGTTCATGTGACACTTACCCAAATTAATGGTCATATAATTTCATTTGCGTTGTGTAAAAAACACAATGAAAAACATTAAATGTGGGAAAATGGACATACGCAGCCAAACTATCGCAAACAATCGAAAATATAAATCGAAAAGCTTTTAATCGTCCGAAAAAGTTGGATACCACAACACAACACAAATTGTAGAACAATCTGCATCGCTCCGAGTCTTCGTTTATTATTCACAAATCCAAAAGGAGACATATGTTTTGGGGCTTTCAGTTGCTTAAAAGGAGCTTTTATGTTGATTGCCATTTTTTTAGATTTTCAGTTTTTTTCTAAGATATGAGCTTAAGTTTGAAAATCTGATATAAACTTATATTAATGTATAAAAGTGATTGGTAAGCTGAAGTCATCACAAACCTTCCTTCCAGAATCCAAATTTTATTCGGATTCATCTGCGTTATACGGTGTCTTTCTTTTCATTTTCGTGATTTCGAAAAATGTCTCCTGTCGCATATATGCGTTCCATGATGGCTATAGTTGAAATTTACTCCATATGAACGGTCAAGAACATTCTCGCTGTTTCGCTCTGTGTATTTGGTATAGCATAGAGCGGAATGAAGCGAATACGATTCACGTAGCGTTAAACTTTCACACAAGACGACCTATTTTTTCAAACAGAAGCTATAGCTCCGACAAAGAAAATTGATTCGACTGATAAAAGTGGTAGAAACTTTACCGCTTTGTATAAATGGTTATTGTATTTTGTCAACTTCGGTCAACTTCATACAATTTGTTATGGTTGTTGTATTATTATTATTATTTTGCCATCGCTACTGAATCGGACCTTGCATTCAAATCAAAATCGACTATTTTGTCGATGGAAATGCTGTTTTGTTTTGTTATTAAACCATTATTTATGAGACACTGGGAAAAAATACTTCGATTTGAATGCAAATATGAAAGAAACTTTGTCTTGAATTTCAATTGTGTGGATCGATTATTTCATATGCGCCAATACTAGACTGGTCCAAGAAAAAAAGTTGTCCACAAAAAAAAGTGCCATTCAGTCCCAAAAAATATACCTCAAAAAAATAGGTTTGGTCCAAAAAAATCCAGTCCTGAAAAGCCTATATTCAAGCATTTTTTGGACAAAAGTCGATTTTTTAGAGTTGAAATCGAATATGAGGCCAGAAATATGTGAAAACATCACTCGATTTGGTCGTGTTACCCAAGTGGACGCTGAACTCCTTTCCACTCTCTTTCTACTCCATTTACACACCTTTGTGTACAATAAATAGGGAAAGGAGTAACGACTCCCTTTTTGTCTCATCTTCTTCTTCTTCTTCTTCTTCTTTTTAGATGTTGTGTGCTCTCCAGATATTGTGTGCTCACAGCGCATAATAATCAGAATAAAGGAAGAAGCAGAAAAAGAAGAAAAAGAAGAAGAAGAAGATGAGACATAAAGGGAATCGTTACTCCTTTCCCTATTTATTATACACAAAGGTGTGTAAATGGAGTAGAAAGAGAGTGGAAAGGAGTTCAGCGTCCACTTGGGTAGTACCTAAAATGTTTGTAAAGAATCACACTAGAAGTTCAAAGGTAGAAAAGGTAGAAATCGTATGCTTCCATGTGTCAAACCGAAGCTTATGTTTGTGATTTGTCCATTTTGGCCAGAAATGCGTCATTTATGCCAGGATCAATTGTCGCTAAATTTCATCCAAATTGGAATTTGAGAAGTATCAAATTTTTTGTACAGGTTCTAGCTACACGACACAAGTCAAAAACTAAACAAAAGTCCACTACTTGGGAGACTCGTAGACCAAAAAATGCAAAAAATCCCTAAAAATTGCCATTTTTTTGGTCATTTTACACTGTAACTGGCCCAGAATGTCTTTTCAAGGGTTAATGTCTTGGTAAGAGTTGTAGATATTGACAAGCCAAACAAAACCCTAGGGGCTAGGAACAATTTGTGAGATTCACAAAGATTCGCATATATTCATGCGTTCGTGGCTTTGTTATTGTTGTTGTACACTCACTGCGATGCGAATGTCTCGTATACACAATCACACGAATTCATAAATATTCGTACGGATTCGTCTCAAGCGCTTGTGTTCTTACCGCCTAGACAAAACCCTATCATTGGTTTTTGCCGAAAATTGTTTGGAAAAATGATTTAGGTCGAAATGTTGAGATATGAATTGGCTTCCGAAATCGCTGTCATGAAAATTTTGATGTAAAAACTGGCAGGGTATTTTATATGGTACCCATATGATTTTTTTGGACCAAAACTATTTTTTGAGATATATTTTTCGAAACTGGACGGCACTTTTTTTTGTGGACAACTTTTTTCTCCTGGACCAGTCTAGCCAATACATTTAAATTCAAATCGAAGAAAATACGTTTTTTCATATTCACAGGATGAATGATTTAATATTCAATGTATCAATGTATCATATATCAAATAACTAACACAGTCCGACGCGTGTTTTTTTTTAATTGCCACATGGGATGTTCCAGTGCCAGGCGATAGTTGAGGCCGCCCCGAGTTCAGAATGGGCCATGGTTATGGTCGAACATCAGCAAGTTTAATAGTTATGACATCCAGCGTTTCTACGTTTCAGGAAGAACAAATTTCTTGATGAAACTCAGTTTTTACACCAATACTCGATAATTATAGGTTTTCTATCAATTTGTTCAGATCCCTTAAGTGTACAATTTTCATAGAACGGTTGATCACAATGTTGAAAAATGTTTTTTTTTTCTGAAAACTGAATGATAATACTGAATGCTAACGAAATGAATCTAAAAATGTGATGACCTAGGCGATGAAAATGCAAAGAATGACGGCCCATCACAAAAGTTTGACATTTTTGTGTTTTGCGTAAGCAAGAAATATTGAATTTCCAACATGTGTCGATTGGAAAGGGAAATTGGTTTCGGGTATAAAACATCGAATTTTATCGAACATTCCCTAGTGCATCAGATAAATTGAACCAAATTAGTTCGCTAATCGAAATCCCGTTTTAATCCATATCTTAACGAATTCAAAATATAGAACAGTCTGACTGTGACTTAAGTCCATTGTGAGATTCGTGATTCAAATTCAAGTGAACCTTGCCTAAAAATGGTCAATTTCAAAGTGCTGCAATTCAACCAGACGCTTATGTCTTGGATTGGAATTGATTCGCGTAATTTGAACGAACCAAAAAATGAATTCCTTCATTCATTTACTGCTTACTACGTTTTATTCGTGAATACCACTTTCTCAATTATGTGCAGCGCAGCATTTATTTATGTGAACTGGCCACAGTTTGACATCATTTCACAGCCGATAATATTTGCTCTTGGAAATGTGACGTGTTTTGGATTATTTTTGTCCATTGGTCTCAATATGAAATCAGTCAAAGCTTTACAATTGAAACTGCAACGCATCGTCGATGAATGTAAACTTATTTTAAACGTTTGTCAACATGTTTAACTTCACTTTTGAATATTTTCATGAATTTTCAGCCCATAAAAACCCAGAACTTCATGATATTTATTGGAGCGTTGAGCAAAAGTGTCGTAAATACACGCGGATTATATTGTGCTATTTTGTGCCACATCACGGAATATTTTTGGATGCAATTTTGCGGTGTGCCTACGATATTATTCATGAAAATTACGATACATCCGCTTGGAGTTTGCCAATTAGCATCAGCGTGCCGTTCAATACGAACAGCATTTTGGGATGTGTTTTGTTACTGTTCATCCAGTTAAACATTTCGATTACATATACGCTGATTATGATTTCCCTTACGTCGTACTTCATTAGCTGTTGTCTTTATCTTGAAGCCATGTGTGATCATTTTACTGCGCTGATCGACACGGTTAAAGAGAATGTAGAAAATAATCAAGAGGAAAATAACCCTAACAAATACCGAAGGAGAGAGCTACAAAACAGGAAGAATCTCTTTAACGCAATTGAAATTCATGGTGCTGTTTATGAGTAAGTGCAATGCACTTAGTGCATATAAAAGTTCAACAAATTCGTATTTTGTTCGCATGCGAAACCAACAAATTGAAAGAAAAAAAAATAATTTTTACTTTACGTTGCGTTTTTTGCATTTTTTGAAAAAAAGGGCATTTGAATTGGTGGCAAATATGAACAGCGGAGGGCTATTTGCCATTCTCTCTTGCCATATGCCTTTGATGGCTTTATCTTTCTACGATATGGAACATGTAAATATCCCATTTTTTTTATGCTCTCGCTCTATATGCTCATCAATCTTGTTTGTCAAAGTTCACACACTCTTTCGTTTTTTTATATTTTTGGCAATTTTTGCTCCATGTTTAGGTTTTCAACAAGGAATTTGCCTTAATTGCTTTGACCTTGGCTGCTTTCGTGTGTAGTTTGGTTTGGTTGTTTCTCTACTGCTATTTCGCTACATTTCTCAGCGAAAGAATAACTTCTAATGGGAATACTATGTGGTCGACCAACTGGTTCGATTATTCACCAGAGTTTAGTAAATATGTGCCCTTAATAATTGCTCGTTCACAAAAACCAGCACAATTCACTGGATTCAATTTATTGCCTTGCACATTGGAAATGTTCGGAAAAGTATGAGCCATTTTTCATTTAACACATATCATTTTTTCGAGAAAAGAAGGAATGTACTTCACAATAATTACTCGATTAATGGTAACTTTTTTCAGATTTTCAAGACATCCCTATCTTATTACTGGATATACAGGAGCCTTTCTATGCACTAAAATGTCAAACATCAAAATGGATCACCATAAATGAATTGAATTGATTTTTCTCTCAATCGACGAGTTTTAATGTAGATTTTAGAAATCCTAGGAAACATGCTGTAAAATGTAGAATTGTCACGTAAGAATAATGTTTTATTAAAGTGCACTATGTTTCAGTCTCGCGACTAACGCCAACAGAACAAGTTGTTATTTCATTTCTCTCTTGCTTCATTCCACTTCTATATTGTTTTACTTTTGCAGCTCATATTACCACAGGTTATGGGCATACTGCTACGCAGCAATTGAAGTTTTTTGAAGTAGAGAAGTGTAAAGCGTGTTGCATTAGTCTCTTTTCATTCGATTTTTCGTGAAGTTTTTTTTATAAATTCGTGATGTCAAATCAGAAGTAAGGTTTTGATCGCCTAAAAGGCCGAGAAAACTACAGTGAATGGAAGGTTGGCGCGAGAGCATTTCTCATAACAAAAGAATTGTGGACATGCGCATCAACGAATGGCGTGCTGCGAAAAGTGTTTGTGTTAGAACAATTCGTAATGCTTAAACTCAGCGACTGTGAATCGATCACCGACTACGTAAATAAGAAAATTGGACTTTATGCAAAAGTGAAAAAGGGTTTTAAGCTTGACGACGAAATTTCCGGTGGAATTTTACTGTGCGGCCTGGGTGAAGCGTACAGACCTCTAGTCATGAGTGTTAGATATAAATTGACACCCGACAGTGTTAAAACATTATTACTTCAAAGTGTCGATTTTGAAAGCGCAAGTGAAAATGCACTAAGTGCACAAAACAAAAAGAAGTTCAATAACAAGGGCAAATCAAAAAAGCCAGTTAAATGTTATGATTGCGGGGGGCCACATTTTGGAAATAAATGTACGTCGAAAAACAGTAATACTTAGAGGACAGTACTAATGCGAAAGAAGTAATTGCCAGAAATGGACTCTTAATTCTAAAGGGAGACCAACTTGAATTCATTCATCGCAGTTTTGCCGAATATTTAATAAACGAATACATAACCAAGAATTGGAATAATTGTCAAGTACAGAAACTTCTACTAGAAACTTAGTGATCCAAGATTTAACAAAATATGTTCCCATCATACATGAGCTGATACGTGAAGATTTGTTCGAAATTCCCAAAATTGTATTGAACCTTTTTAACAAGCATTTTCCAGATAAAAATTCCGTGATAAAGAAATTTTTTATCCTAGCGCATGATAAGGATGAAAGCATTTTGTACCTTTCATTGCAATATGATGCACAATCAGCACAGTTTTTGTTGAACTGGGTTGAAGATCACTGTGGCATCGACACACCCATGAATTTAATTAAAACAGGACGAGTGGTCAACGGTGAAATCATTGAATCCTCGTTATTCGCAGCAGCTAGAAGTCCATGGGAAGGAAGTCTTGAAATGTTTAAGTTAATATTAGACCTCATGGCGAGGCACGTTGAAAGTAACGAATTAAAAGTATTTGTATTGGCAAATGAGAAGGAAGAAGGTAGAAGCATTTTGTACATTTCATTGCAAAACGATAATCCACAAAAAGCACAGTCTTTGTTGGACTGGGTAAACAATCAATTTGGGGTTGACGTGCTCAAAAAATTGTTACTTAAAGCAAAAGTTCGAAATGGTAAAATCAACACAGCGTTACACGGAGCAATTAAAAGTCGATCTGAATATGATGAACAGTCCGAAAGAAAAGAAAAGATTGAGTTGATATTAACTTCGTAAAAGACAATGTAAAAGATGATAAGTTTTTGAAAGATTTCATATTCTCAAAGCACATTGATCCTGACGAAGGTGTCTTTTACTATTCAACAGAGCCTAAAAATGATGAAGGCGTATTGTATTTAATGAATTGGGTAATAAAACACTCAAGTGTTGACGGGCCAAAGAAGTCAAGACTGAACAGACTACTCGCGACCCCAACTTCTAGCGTCATCTTCAACATTTCACCATCATCTCCAGCTTCACTGCTTCAAAGCATTGCATCGTTTCAGTATTGCAATGAAAATAATTGTACGTACAATATCAACCGCAGAGTGCAACTGGATTGCCTACGATGTACAGAAATAAAGTTTTGAGCAAAAATTTCCTTTGTTAAATCGAAACAAAATGCTTTTCCGACGAAATTGTTTGTGAAAAAATGCTAACGAATGAATGAAAGTAGAAAAAAACAACGGCTTACCGTATCAAGGCTTAGAAGAGATGCACATATGATAATCGATGAAAGCCCGAACAAGATAAATATAATCGAACCGTATAAGTTTGAATTTATCAGTAAACAAAAATTCTGCCATAAAGCTTGAGCGAAAAGTGAAGCAATTTTTTTTTCTTGTTATCGGCGAGCAAATATTATGACGTCTATCAAATGAAGATAAAACAAATTGATATTTTGAATATTGGCATCAATGTGCACCTACAATTCCATTATCTGACATAAAGCTTGTATTTATAGTACTTTGTTCAACAGCTCTTGGTCTAATACCACTGTTGAAGCGTGCGCCGAATGTTTTTACTTCAAACAGCACGAAATACATTCCTGAACAAAGAAAGCACAATATCCATGAAAGAACAATAAAAACATGGACATAATGGACGACTGTCGTGTAATTGCGTAATAAAAGTGGTAGCTTCTGTTCGCGTATCGCTAAAATGCCTATAAATGTTAGAATCTCTTTGGCCGTTGAAAATATCGCCATTGTTTTTTGTTCGAAATTTAACACTTAATATGAATAACAAAGACTTCTCAACCAGATCA